TAACCATTAACATTAAGAGACACCAGAATGTTATTGTATTGATCATAATCATCATTACTCATTATTAATTCATCGTCTTGAACCATTTTAATCAACCAATTAATTAATCTGCTAATAGATCAAGTTTGTTTCTCTCCTCTCTGTCTCTGTATGTTAATATTACCTCAGTATTCAAGGTTAATGGTGCTGTTAAAATTACCTTGATTAATTAGGCTTTTTAATTTCTTTTAATCTTGTTGATTAACAAGATTTGGTCACAGATAATTGTCAATGTTTTTCAACTGGACATGATTCTTAGTCTAATACATTAAATCACCTTTTTAATCAAGTTAATTGTTAACAGAAAGCAAATAAAAAACCAGAAAATTTATCTCATCATCAAATCAGAATTAAAAGTTTTCAAGAAAAACTAAACTTAATCAGCTAATGTTTTAACAATAATCATCAACTAATTAATCAAACTAATCAAATCTCATTAAAATTAACCTGATTTAAGTTTGTTTAGTTTAACTTTCTTGTCACATTTGATTGAATTAATTATCAAATTACAAAAAAAGTTTTCGAAACTTTTTCGACTCCTATTGACATCTAGCGGATTTTTTGGTAAACATTCTCGATCGTGCTTAAAGTTAATCAATTAATTAATTGTGTTGAATTTATAATTAGATGAATTTTCTTTGAATTAAAATGTTAAGAGTTTTTTTCTCCACTTTGATTATTCATGTTTACCTTTACTCACTTGAAAGTGTGACTCTTGGTAATTTTTTTTTCTATCACAATCAATTGATAATAATGATAATCTATTGATAATAGTTGATAAGAAATTAATATTAATCATAATAATAATTAAAGTAAAACAGGTTGATCACACCCATTGATTAACCTTCACTTGTTAAACGTCCGGTGTTGTGTATATATTGATTATAGTTAACAAGTTAAAGAGTAAAAATTGTCACCGGAAATATATAAATACAGGTAAGCATTTGTATTCACCTTTAACAGGTAAAATCATCGAGTTGATTATTAGTGTTTACCATTGAATGTTAATGGGGGAAAACAAGTCAACAAAGTTTAAGATGATAAAAGTAGGAGGAAGATGAGGTGATGGATCGTGATGATGATGATGAAGCGGAAGATACAGGTAATCACATTTTCATAATTAATCTTTACCGTGATTTGTTTATAATTAAATGATACTTTTTACTTGTGTCATTATTAATCATCATAATGGTGACTTATTAAATCGTCGGACATTTCAGTTTCCGTTTTCATTTTCATTTCCTCTTCTTCCCAAAAAGTATCAACATCATCACCATTTTCATCCTTAAGCTGTTTGGTACTTGGAACGGTTTCTCTTCAATGAAGATCCTTTTGATAACATTGAAAAGACTATGATAATAATAATGATGAAGATGATGATGATGAGGATGAAAAGTCAAGTGTCACAGGAATGATGATGAGGAGGCTTATCCTTGAAGCTAATTTAATGATATTAATGTTTCCTTTCAGACTTTTGGTTGATCAGATTTGTGATTTTCACTCTTTGTTTTCTATCTACATTCATAGTGGTCAGGATAATTTTTCGCTTGACCAGAGAGGCGAAACGAAGTATTTTTTTTCTTTCTTCTTTATTTTGTTTTTTTTTCGTTCATTTCACCAAGAGATACTCAATGAATATGGTGCTCATTTGGGGGAGAAAAAGAGGAAAAAAGGAAAAGCGTGTACATCTATGAGCATATACATGTACGGGTATTAAAACGTAAGAAAAGAGACAACGACAATAACGAGGTCACCATTTAATCGTACTTTTCCTCTTTAATTACCTTCGCCTCCACACCTTAACCACCTTAATCTTTACTCTATTGTTAAGCTACTGTAACACACTTTACACCAATCGACTCTGTGATTTCCCGCCGTTTGTTTATTTAGCTGGTTCCGGGAGAGAGAGAGAGAGAGAGAGAGTTGTGATTACTTGTATCATAATAGAAACCGGATGTTGATTGACAATAGACATTTTCTTACAAGAAATTTCTATCTTCACTACTTACCTGTGTTTCCTTTTCTATCAATAGTGTATCTTCAATTGAATGGATATTCAGTCTACCTTTATCCGAATTGAATAATAATAATGAACAAGAACCTACAAAGTTTTCTTGATCATTTTCAAATGAAATGTTATCAAAATTTAATTTCCATCAATTACAAACTTATATATACATGTAAGTGTATCATTACTACATTTTTGGGACAATTGGTTGATTTTGGAAACAATTAGTTACCATAATTAACCACCAATTTAACTTTATATTGCAAGATAAGGTGAGGAAATTGATAGACCAGCAATTAAGATTCTGGTTGAGTTTCCGTTTATTGTTTCCTAAGATGGAGATGATTAACAATTAGTGTTGATTGTTAGTTAACATATCTCGTAATTTCAACCATAAAAATAATGGACATCATCAGGAATAACGGTAATTCAAGTGCAATGGAACCAAATAATTTCAATTTAGGCTTAATTGTGAATATCGATGATCGGATTAACTCTAATCTTGGATAAATTGTATTCAATTGATTAGGATAAGCCAACATGGCCTGACAAAGGGCTGATGAACATTTGGTTGATGATTTAATCATTGATGAGATTGTACTGAACAGGGAGACAATTGATATAATTGAGGTGATCAGGGTGATTAAAGTATAACCTGAGGTTGATTTAAAGGTTAATATTGATTGAGTTGAATCAAGGATTAATGTGGTCAATGAGATTAAGTAAATTGTAAACAATAAGGAGAAAGCAAATTTTTTCAATGGAGAGGTAAAAGTGACCATTGAAAGGCAACGATTATAATTACTTGAAATGTAATCAATTAATTGATTGAGATCAGCTGATTTAACTGTGGTTAACATTTTATCTGAATAAAGTGAACATTGTAAAGTAAATAGGTTAATCCAATCAAATGAACTTTTAATTGTTAACAATTCACGAATATAATTTGAGATAATTGTTGAGGCCATTATACCAACGGTCAGTTGACTGATATTTGATGACCAGGCAAACATTTCCATTGCTGGTGAGAATGATTTAAATCCTAAATTCCAATTAACTAAAGTAATTGAGATTATTAATGATAATCTAATTATCCATTGATAGAGTAGGTTAATTGTTGATGATGAAAGTTTTTCTAATTGTTGATTGTAAAGTGTATTGGTCACTTGATAGATCTCAATGAATGCCTCTGGACATTGTAAATCTTTATCCTTGTTTTCATCATCATTTGTTATGGTCACTGAGCTTGATGATGATAATGATGAATCGTCAAGATTAATTGTTGTTGTTGATTTAATTTCATCAATTTTTACCGTTATAATTGATACATCTGATGTTGGTGATTTAGGTTGTGTTGTTATTGTTGTTAATTCAGTTGATTCTGGTGTTGATTGTTGGCTATTTGGATTATCAGTAGATTTTTTTGATTCTTCTTGTTGTTTGATTATAATTGTTTCACTTTTAATCCAATTAGTTAATGATACACCCAATAAACCACAAAATATATACACAATATATTGAATTAAATCAATTACATCCTTTAATCGAGATGAACTTTTTTTCAATTTAACCACGAAAATAACAATTTTTGATGGAAGGGCAAAGAAAAGGAAAATTAAAATTAAGAAGACAATTAAGCAACTATTAACTGAACTTTCTGTGTTGTTTTCAAATTGTTGGGACAATTAGTTGATTGTTTCCCATTGGAATACAAGGTTTTTGGTATTGAGAGGACGAAAAAAGCGAGGGAGAGAAAAGAAATTAGTTAATTATCATTTAGATTAATTCATTAGCTGATTAGCTAAATCACTTACTTGCCATTTGATGATTTGATTAACCTCAATGTTTACCTATGGTGGACACAAAACAAAAGGTCAATATGATTACATTGTCAATTGATTAGTTGATTGTAAACATTTTCACTTATTAATTGGTAACAATATTTACTTTTAATTGTAATAATTCAATTGCTTACAGATTAGTGTTAATCTATCAAAAGTTTTTTCTTTAATGGAAACAATTAGTTTGATTTTTTTTTCTGCCAATTTTACCATTCAAACTTGATTGTGATTAATCAGTGACAAGAAAGAGACCAATTTGTATCACAATTAACGGTACAATTAACCTTGGAGTAAATTGTTTGTTTGTCTCTCAAAAAATATTGTATTTTTATCCTTATCATTGTTAACTGAATCAAGTTAATTGTTAACCATTAACGATTCCAGTGCAAGGTTGGCAGGAAATTGTATTTAGATAAACAAATTCATTTTCTTGGCTAATTGTTGTCACTTAAACTGGTTAATTAAATTGTTTTCCACCTATTTTAACTTAATTATCTTGATTGTCTTTAGTAACTTAATTGACAGTGATCAGTTAATTTAATTTGTAACCTTTAAAATTCAAAGTGGAAAACCAAACTTTGTGATTGATCAATGATTATGTTTGCTAACAATTAACCAAACAATATGATCAACTAAATCAATTTCTTATCCCACAATTAATTAGGTGATTGATCAATTATTTTATTACGATTAAAGTTACAATTAAAAGTAAATTGTTACTATTGATTGGTCTCTCTTGTTTTAATCAAACAATTAAATAAATAGCGGAAACAGTAATGTAATTAAAAAGTTTCACCATTTTTAATAAATCATTTTGATTAAATTATCGAGATGTTAAAACTGATCAATGATTGATAATAATTATAAGTTAATCCAGGAACTGATTGTTGATCATCATCACCATCATGATTATAATTTAATTGTATCATTGACATTCAATGATTAGTAATTATAACCTTTAATTTAATCAGATGAAGGAACTGATTAATGATTAGTTTTTTGATCAGATATTTTTAAGGATTTAATTTAAATGGTTGAAACTATTTAATTGTTGATTAAACTTAATCAGTTTTTAGCAAATGAAAATTATACAAAAAAAAAAGTTGATTAACTTAGAGTGTAATTTGAGGGATAATAATTTACTAATTGTGGACATTTACAAAGATCAATTTTTGAGAGAAAAATTAATTGATTAATTTTCTATTGGAACATAATCATAAAGTGCTGATTCATCTTTGATAGGAAGAGAACGTGGCCTTAGTTGTCGACCTTTTATTAGATCGGCCGCTCTTTCGGCAACTGTAATGGTCGGTGCATTTGTATTACCGGTGGGAACCTCTGGCATAATTGCGCTATTAACTACCCTGCATCTATCTACACCAATGAGACGAAGATTGGAATCAACGACTGCCATTGGATCATCTCGTGACCCCATTTTAGCGGTACCAGTGGGATGATAAAGGGTAAAGGACATCGTTTGAATGGAGCACCTCAAGTATTCATCAGAATTGAGTTGATATTTGCTACAATCTTTCAATTGGGAACTAAAACTTTTCGTATCAATCGCTTGCATCGCTGGAGTTTGAGTTATGTTCAAAACGAGTTTACAGCCTGCGACCAGAGCGTCAAGATCTCGACTATCGGCGAACATGTTATAGTCAACAATTGGATCATCTCGATAATCCCCAGAGGCCAAAGTAACTGAGCCAATACTTCGAGGTCGAACCAAGGTAACGGCAAACATGGTTCCATCTGAACCAGAATATGGAAGCAAATACTTGTATAAAACTTCATTGTCGAAGTTGAAAATGGGACCTTTGAATCAAAGAAGATTTCAAATTATACTAAATTGTTTGATCAATTCTAAATTCAAAAAAAAAATCTATTTACCTAAAATAAGATCTGGAAAAGCCCCTCCGGCGATATAAGCTAATTGATGAATTTGAATATCGGGTCTAGTATCGGGTGAATATGGGCTTTTCCAGAAGCCGATAATGTCCAGTCCAGGTGATGCAAGTGACCCTGTTTGAGACAGTGAATACTGGGCGAAACTAAGGGCAGTGGTCGCTCGGGGCAACACTAGACTTGTTCCAAACCGGGTGGTAAAAAATTGGAAACTGAAAGGATGATCTTGCAAATTAGCTCCGACTCCTGGAGATTCATGAACAATTGGAATACCAAATTTATCTAATTGATCTCGAGGTCCAATTCCTGAAAGCATGAGAAGCTTTGGAGTGTTAATAGCACCCGTTGCTAGAATGACCTCCCGTCCTGCAAGAACTTGATATTCTTTACCATCACGAGTTATCAGCTCTACACCAGTGGCCACCTTATTCTCGAAAGTGATCTTAGTTACCGTTGCGTGGAGTAAAATTTGTAAATTTGATCGATGTGAAGCTGGACCTAAATACCCACGGCCAGCTGAACATCTTCGACCATCACGAATAGTGAACCTTGTATACTGCCATCTCTCTTGCTCGGCACCATTATAATCGCCTAGAGTTAAATTTAACTGAGAAACACCCTCGATAAAAGCCTTATCGACGGGAAACGGTTTTTGGAGAGGTGTCACAGTTATCGGTCCAGTAGTTCCGTGATAACCTGGGTCACCTTCGGAATCTCTTGACCCTTCCATTTTTAGAAAGTAAGGTGAGAGAGAAGAATAATTCCAACCCTTGGCACCCAATTCCTCCCAGCGATCGTAATCTAGTCTATTACCTCGAACGAAGAGTAAATAATTTATACTTGACCCTCCGCCGACAACTTTACCTTGTGGAGCAGGGATTCGATTACCTTTCAGCCCAAATGCCGCATATTTTTGAGGAGTTGATTGAAAGGCCCAATCTTTTTGTGTTTTCTGCTGGAGAAATGCAAACACCGGTGTTGTACTGAAAAGATCTTCATTTCCACCAGCTTCGATTAACAAAACTCGAACTGATAAATCTTCGGTTAATCGAGCAGCTAAAACCGATCCAGCCGAACCGCCACCAACTATAATATAATCGTAAGTCAGATTGACATTGAGTTTGTCGGTATAATCGATGGAATAAGGAAGTGACACTGGTCCCATCGAAGTCGCAACAATGGTACCAAATGAATTTCGATTTGTTTGATCTTCATCGGGGTTTTCATCTTCGTCTAGATAATTTGTATTCAGCTGAGATAGAAAATGTTTAGCAAGACCAATCCTCGCATCTCTGAACGATGTAATCGTCGAACTGATTATTTGACCATTCGATGTCCAAATCAACGATAACCAAATGATTAAAATTAATTGTTTCCACTTCAATTCTTTAATAATCATAACGAGAATCTAAGAAAACAATTTAATCATTGTTAATAATCGTTAATAAGTCAACAATTAGATTTAAGGATCGATCGATTTTTTCATAATCCCTTATGTTTAAAGGTAAATTTAATTGTCTCATCATTAATTGTGACGATTGATTTGCTTTCATTGCTTGTTAATCAATTTCCTCAATGTCATTGTTTAAATATTAAACAGCTGATGGTAAACAATTAACTTTGGTTTTGCACTCTAAGTTAAACCTTGAAATGATTGCAGGGTCACAATTTGTTAATTTTGATACAGAGACAATTAAATTGATCATGACAATTAAAGCTTCTCTCTGGTTGATCACTTTAATCACTCTGATTGTTTTAAATACAAATAAACACGATTAATTGTACAACAATTTATATCATTGATCAATTGTTTCATCACAAATTAACCTAAATTATTTATAGTTAATCAAACGGACTAATTTTAACAATTAATATCTAATCAACTGTTAAGCCATGATGATCAAGTAATTAATCAAAATTTATTGAAATCTGTATCCTGATAATTTATTAATTGGTTAGCTTTTTTTTTAATCACAAAAGTTAATTGCAAGCAAAGTTAATTAAAAAATTTCGATGTAAATTGTACATTACCTTTAATTATAACTGTTTAATTAACTCCTTAATTGTTCACTTTTTTGTATTAAAATTGACAAGAAAATTTTTCTCCCAATGGTTAACTAAATTAACTTAATTGTGTTAACAATAATAATTTTCAAATAATTTAGATTTAAAAACTTTACTTGTTCAGTTAATTAGAACAAACTAATTGTTGAAATAATTAGAATTACCTTTTTATAATGTCAAAATCAATCTCTATGTTAATTAACTGTGATTAATTAGTTGATTGAGAGAGAAGAAAAAAAAATCCTAACAATAATATCAACAATTAGAATTACCTTTCCAATTTATAATTAAACTGAATCTATTTAAATTCCCCTTTAGAAATGTCAATTAATTCAACATGTGAGCAAATGAATATTCAGCTTAACAATTAGACGAAAAGAATTCATCTCGAATTAATTAATTAACTTTCTCGAACCTCTAACAATAAAGAGTAAAAGAAAGGGGAAAAAAATTAAGTGCGAGCCATTAATTAATCGTTAATTTCTATCAATGATCATAACCAGATTGTTTACTCTCTTTATAATTAAACGAAAACAATCAATTAAACATCGTAAACAAAGTTAATTATAAACGCAAGAGAAAACGAAAAAGTTTCTAATTCCTAATGATTAATTTTCTTCTCTATGTAACAATAGATGGCGTTGGAAGCAGAGAAAAGAAAAACTCTTTGGATTAAAATCCAAATGGGATCCGAATAATTGGAATCGAATCCAATGTGAGAAAATTTTTTTCTTCTTTCCATTTGAATTCGGCGCTTGTACCAAATGAGAGAAGAATTTTTTTTCTCTTTCTTTTTTCTTTCTTTTCTCTTTCCCTTTTGTTTGAATGAGAATTATGAATTTGATGTTTTCTCAATTGGTTTTCATTTCCTAAAAAATGATCAGAGTTTTAAATCATTGGAATTTTAAATTACTGTTTCTTAGTGTTCTTCCAACATTGTCTCTTATTATTGTTCCTGTTTACTGGTTAACTGATTTCTCTTCATAAACGTTGATTGAATGGTAAAAATTTGCTAATAATTGGAAGAAGAAGAAGAGAAAATAAATTATCCATCAATCACAACAACAATGCCCCAGGATTTGGTTACCCAGGAGCTTCAAGCTGAACTATTTGAATGTAAACAAGAGTTGGAGATTTATAAACGAAATGAGAAACAAATGGAATATTTAACCCGTGAGAATAAACAATTACAAAATGAGAAGCTTTGTTTACGTGAGACATTACAACGAACGGTTGATCGTATCAGTTTTCTGGAGGAAGAGAGAGATACCCTAAGGAGTCATTACTATGGAACACAATTGGTTGAAAAAGCTGCCGAAGAAGATATTAGAAAATTACATGGTAACATTGATGATCTACGTAAAGAGATTTTAGGATTAAAGAATACCATTGAAGAATTGAACATCTCAAAGAAGACAATTGAACAGAATCTTGTTGAATTACGACAATCGGCTAGTTTAAATGAAGAATCAGCTCAAAGCAAGAGGAAAGCATTGGAAGAGCAAATTACAGCTTTAAAAAAGGTTAACAATAAACTGGAACAAGCTCTTCTCCGTAACAATGACCAAAATATAATCTCCAATTTAAATCCAACATCAACCGGTGAAAATGGTTCCGATTCAACAATCAACAGTCCACAACCTCCACCAGCAACAACAACTCATCCCTAAATTTATATACATTTACACACATTATTATATTTATCATCTAATAACTTATTATATCAACAACTACAAACGAGCAAAAAAAAGCCAAAAAAATGACAATGGAAAATATGAAGAAAAAAACAACACAACTTTCAATTGAAGAACCAAAGTTTAACTGATTCACACTGATTTGGGGATTAATGGATTAGAGAGTTTTCAATCAAGATGGAACATTTCATTTCCTATAAATTGTTTTCAGAATCAAAAACTTTACATAAAATTTGATTGTAACTCATTTACAATTGGTAATAACTAATGGAACTAGAAAAGGAAAAATGGAAAACCAATCAACAATTTATATACACATTATCAAGTTCATACAATTGACTCTCAAAAGTAGCATGTTTAGTATATTAACACAACTATAACATGCTTATTGAGATGGAAAAATTAATCAAATTAAATAAATAACAATAATAAGAAAAACAATCAACCATCAATTAACCTAATCAATAGTGTAAAATTGTAAACTGAGAGAGAGAGAGAGAGAGAGAGAGAGAGAGAGAGATTTCAATCGAGATTTTCTCAATTTCGTTTTCCTTAATTATTTCAATATTAACTTTTCGATAATCAATTTCGATCACCAAGAAAAAAAGAGAAATTGATTAATGAGTTAATCCAAAATTCGATGGCGCCAAATATCAGTTGAATCTTTTGTTTTCTTCTTATCGGTTAACCGGTGTAATCCTTTTCCATTTGTCTTTGTCTCTCCTTCTAACAACATTGTGTTCGTGATTTAAAATGTGATCTATTAATTATCTATTTCTCTCCCCTGTGATTTAAAGGATAATTCATTGTTCCTATTAATCAATTTGTCATGTAACAATTGGATTAATTTAATTTGATTCCATAGGAAGAGAGCAGAGAGAGAGAAAGAGAAAAGCAAACAAAAAAAAAAGATCCAAACATAAGCCGATCTGTTTGTCTTTCCAATGTTTAAATACGTAGGTAACCTCATCTTTTATTTTCTAATTGTTCTTTACCTTGATTTCTTTGTTAATTGTTGATTAATTATTGATTATAATTCATCTTCACCTTTCCTCTTACTCTGTTTCTTTTCTATTCTCTATCATGTCGCTGTTAAATTGTCTCTCTTTCTCTCTCTTTCCATCAAAAACTCTTTGGTACTTTTACTTTACTCCCTTTTCTTACCATTGGTGGCAAACCAACAATACGGCTACTTGAATCATCTCGGTAAATTGTTTCACTTATTTACTGACCTCTGCAAGGGGAATTTCTCATTTTCACCATTTAATCTGGTTGATAATTGATTCTCTCTCATCATATTGTCTAATTAGGATCAGACAATCATCATCATCATCATCGATTTAATCACCGTCAATATATATAGAAAGTGTCTCTAACTTTGTGGTTTACTTTTTTCTCTGTGCTGGTTTGTAACCTTTTACCTCTTTGACTCTTTGTCTTTTCCGCAATAAGCTGGACAATATCAAGGTCAAAATGGATTTTAGAACAACTTCTCGATTGACCCTTCTACTGGTCATTTTTTATTCTTCCATGGTAATTGATTCATCTAATGGTCAATTGCTCTCTGGAGCGTTTACTTCAATCAGAGATTTTAGGAAAAATATTCTCGGTGGTATCTTAGGTGTTACTCCAATTTCCGGTGATATGATGTCCTATTCAGCGCTTACCGGAGCCGCTCAGACCCTTGGTAATTCTCAATCCCTTGAAATTGCCCGACAATTTATGACCGTTATCGCTTCGTCCATGGGTCCAATTGCTGTTCCCTATTCCCTTGATTTTACCCTTTCATCCAACATCAATTCAACTTATGATTACATCATTGTCGGTGCTGGTTCGGCTGGAGCTACTTTGGCCGCTCGATTATCCGAAAATCCATCAATTAGAATTCTTCTAATCGAAGCTGGTGGTGAAGAGAATCTTTTATCAACCATTCCCGTTGCTGCCTTTTTATTACAAAAATCCAAGATCGATTGGTCTTATGAATCAGTTCCCCAAACTCGAGCGGCTTTCGGTCTAAATGGTAACAAAATTCCTGCTCCTCGAGGTAAATTGGTCGGCGGTGGATCAAGTATCAACTACATGTTATATGTTCGAGGTAATAAAAGAGATTACGATCGATGGGGTGAACTCGGTGCTACTGGTTGGAATTACTCTTCAATCTCACCCTATCTTGTCAAAATGGAGGGATCTCGAGATCCTCAAGCTGATCGTGGTTATCATGGTACAACTGGACCATTAACAGTTACCCCGCTCCAAGAACCTTTTCCCGTTGATAAAGCATTTTTGGACGGTGTTCGTCAAGTAGGTCTCAAAGTTGGTGATCTAAATGGTGAAGATCAAGAAAAATTCATGTACTCCCGATTCACTGTTCGTGATGGTCGTCGTTGTTCAACTGCTCGTGCCTATTTAGGACCTGCTTCTGGTCGTCGTAATCTTCATGTTGTCATTCTTGCTCGAGGTAACAAAGTTGTTTTTGATAATAATAAACGAGCCATTGGGGTAGAATTTAACAAAGACGGTCGAACCTTCCAAGTTTTCGCTCGACAGGAAGTTATCCTTTCCGCTGGTGCCATTAACACTCCACAACTTCTCATGCTCTCCGGTATCGGACCTCGAGACCAATTACAACAGTTTAACATTCCCATGGTTCAAGAATCTCCTGGTGTCGGTAACAATTTACAAGAACACGCGTTCACTTTACTCATGTACTCGACAAGATTTGGTTCGAGTTTTGTTTACACTCGAGTAAAAACTGCAATCGATGTCGCTAAATTCGCAATCGCAGGTTCTGGTTCATTCACCTCACCAGGTCTAAATGTTATCGGTTTTTGGAAAAGTAAATACGCTGTCGATGATCGTCCCGATATTCAAATCCACGAATTAGATTACATTCCCGGTGGAGCTTTTCCCAACATGGTTCTAGGTAATTAGAGTGATTAAACCGAAATGATCTTAGTTCGAATTTAACAAAAAAATTTCTCTCTTAGGTTATATTCTTAATTTTAACAGAGAAGTTCTTTTTAAATATGTGATGCCATATACTCTTTCCGATGGAACCATGTACGCTGTTACCCTTGTACGACCTCGAAGTACTGGTACCATTAGATTAGCTTCGAGTGATCCTCGAACTGCTCCACTTATTGATTACAATTTGTTTGAAGATTCTCGCGATCTTGATGCTCTTGTTGAAGGTTGTAAATTGATTCAAAACATCACCAAGACTCCAGCCATGCGAGCAATTAACACCAAACAATTTAACACTCAACTTGGTTCCTGTGGACAATACGGTTCAATCGAGTCTGAAGCTTATCTCCGTTGTCTCACTCAAACAATAACCTACACTATTTATCATCCAACCAGTACCGCTAAAATGGGCTCCGATGACGATCCAATGGCCGTTGTTGACCCTCAACTTCGAGTTCGTGGTGTAACAGGTCTCCGAGTTGTCGACGCTTCAGTAATGCCTGAAGTTCCCACCGGTAATACAAATGTACCCACCATTGTACTCGCCGAGAGAGCCGCTGATATTATGAAAGGCCGTCAATTGAGACCACAAAGTCTTCCGTATACCGATCAAGGCTCATTATTGAGATACGCTTAGGATACACAAACTAAATTAAATTGTAATTGAAACTACATCAACATCAAACTAATTATCAATCAAAAAATAACGAAAAAAAAAGACAAAACGAAACGGAAAAAAATGAACTGTTAATTGTTAATTAACTACAAAGGAAACTCAAAATAGTCTCAATATGATCTCATCTAATTTTCTTTGTTAATTGTTAATTGTAACCTGATTGACATTCATCTCTTTTCGGGCCAAAAAAAAGTTCACCCGTTGATTTACTTGTAATCAAAAAAGAGAAATTTTAATTTTGTTGACTCGAGAATCAAATTTAATTGATTCTGTTTAATTATTATTTAATTAAAAATGACGCTAATTGCAAACAATCAAAATTGTCCGTCTAATTTACACCCGAAACAATTTTCATCATTAAATCATAATTTGAGGAAACAATTTGATCAACCAAACAATATTTTCAATCAATTAACATGAGGTAAATAATTAAATCACCAATGTCAAGGTTAATTTAGTTAACAATGTGAGTTAATTAACTTTCCCTTTCTCCTAATTAACCTTCAAGTTCAAGTTTGGTTCTGATAATGTAATTGGTTTACATTTCGGCAAAGTAATTAAACAGCTTTTTCCAATTGATTAGTTGATTAACTATCGTAGTTAATTGAGTTAAACAACTGATTCTAATGGTGATAATTGATTAAGTGAATGATAAATTGATTCAAATTGTCAGAATCATTTGGATGATGAATGTTGGATAAATCAAATTGTATTTTCAACGTCAGTAAACCAGAAAAATTAATTGTAGATCAATAATTACAATCACAATCACAATCAACCTTGATCATTTAAAACAATTAATTATTAATCTAAATTTTCCCTCTATCCATTAAATATCATACGAAAAGAGCAACAATTTAATCTAATTGTTGTTGGAGGAACACTGGATGATGAAAATTAATCAACGGTGAAAGGATTGATCGTTTAAATTGATTTACTATCTAATTGTCACAATTATTTTGATTGTTACAGTTAAATTGATCATAGAGTCATAAAGAAAAACTGTTAGTTGATTAATTGTCAACATTGGAAACAATTGGATTCATTAATTATTATGATGGAAAATGTCTCAATAAAAATATTATTTATTAATAGAATTCAATTGATTGATAATTACACCTTGAAATGATTTGATAATCAATGGGAAAAAATCATCAACAATCAAGATGATTATCAAATAATCATCAAATTTATGATTAGCGTGATGAATGAATATCAATTTTTAAAGACTAACCATTAATTGTAAACAATCAATGATCACAATTTAGAATTGTAACTTAATCAATTTCTCAATTTCTCTCGATACTGAGGATCGAAACACTCAGATAATAATTGGATTGAAGCGATAATCAATCAATTAATTTCGAGTTCTAAAATGGAATCTGAATTGTCTGAACATGAAGAACATGGAAAAGGTGAAAAATGTTCAGTATTCAGTGAGAAAATTTGTGATTCATGTAAACATGAGATGGAAAATACGATTATTGAAAATATCGAAACATTGGAAAAGTTTTTACTTTTCTTATTCGCAGTTCGATCGGGTTATTCTCAGGTGAATCATGGACGTTCGAATAAATTGAAATACTTCGAACTTCACAATAAAATTATTCGTATTTTCTTGATTCTCCAAGCGATTCGATTTATTCTCCTTCTAATATTTGACAGCGATTTTTTATCCATTATTCTGGCCGATCCATTTATCCATTTATCCCGACGCAAAGTGATCTTCATCTTAGTCATCTATGCAATAGTCGCTTTAGGACTTTTTCGTGAATATGTTCTGTACCTTGAGGGGCGAAATTGTTTCTCTTTCCTTTCAACATTTTCTCAAGTTCGAAAGTTAGGCTTTGATAAGCGATCCTTTAAGATGACCAATGCTAAACTCCAACGATTTCGAGTGATTTTCCTAATGATTTCCAACTTCTTCATCGGCCTCATGTATTTGTGCTACTTTTTTGTACCAATTCTACTGATCTTGGTTCGTTTTAACAATAAAATTTATTCCGAGATTCTCTCCATCAACATTGCGAGTCTCCTTTGGGTACCCTTGGAAACTCATTCCATTTACTTTGCCGTTTGTGGTGTTTTCATAATCGCTACTCACATAATACTCATACTTCCGTATTATTATTTTCAGATGATGAGTTTAGTTGAATTATTGGAACAGTTTATCCTGAAGAAAGAATCGGTTTCTTTGGACATTTTTCGAGGGTTAAGTTCAAACACAATACGATTTCTAAATGGTTTCGATGATCTTAATCGAGAACTAAAATATTTAATATCTTATGTGTTCGTAATATTTTCCTTCATGGGTGACACTTTCCTCTTTTCGGGTGTCATATTGACCCAAGCATCCACCATGTTGGCGATCATTTTTGCGGCCTTCGGAATGGTTGTTCTAAGTGTCATTGGAATTGAAACTTTCATTGTCGGAGGTTTTGTCTCTCAGCTTCTTGTTATCAATCAACTTTATCTTAAGCTAATGAGACGATCAAAGTTTATTACTACCAAAAACCTAAAGGTAATCAATCAATTGATCATTTGATATAACGGTTAATCAATTAATCACTTTCAATCGTTTATAATATTTAGCTTTTTGAAGTATTGTCCAGAATCACCAGTCCTTTCAATGGACTTAAAATCGGAGATATAATAACCGTTAATCGTATGGTATTTGTTCAGGTAAGTTGATCAAGATGAAGATATGATGATTATCTAATCAATTAATTACTTTTAATTACAGTATTTGGTTGAAAATGCTTCAGTTATTATGCTTCTATCGGTAAATACTAGAAGTTTACTCGAATAGTATTTGGAATTGTAAAAGTTACGATTAGACATCAATCTGATCTGTACTGTAATTATTGTGTATTAATATTATCGAGATTCATATTTAAATAAATACAATAATGATAATTATGGTGACTCATTGATTGTTTGGCTCATTTTGTTGATTAAATTGTTACTAAACTTAGATTAGATTAGATTGGGTGATTATCACAATGGCAAAGTGATTAAGGAATCAGTGAATAACAAGCAACTACCTGTTGATTTGATCAATCAAATTGTTACTATTTCTTGTTGTTATTGTTGTTCAACCCTTTAAAATCTGATTTCCATATTTAATTACCTTCTAATTAGAGTTGGTTTACCAATTTGTTTGAAAGAAAAAAATTACTGACTGATTATCTAGTTCAACAATTATACTATTACATTGTAATGTGAATACAGTTATTTCGGGATAAATAGTGATTATGTTAATTTCTGGCAACTGTTGATTGTTTCCTTTGTTTTTCCAAATGGATTCAACCTTCACTAATCTCCTAATCCCTACGAATACAAAGTGATTAAGAAAAGAGATTCATTAAAATTACCCTGAGGATTGTTACACTTTCTGTCTCTCTCCCTTTGCTGATTATCTTCCCTTTGAAGAGGGAATGATGATCATGGTGATGGTGGAAATGAAGAGAAAATGTTTGCCCTCAACATGAAGATGAAAATGAAAAACGCTGAGATTGATGAAGTAAATGATGTCTACGAATCTTTTTTGTTCCATGATGATTATTTATTCTGGAAGACAATCATTATCATGAAGAAATGTTTCTGTTGGCCCACAGAGAACGAGAGAGATGGAATCCTTTTTATCATTTCTCTCTCTCTCTCTCTCTCTTCGTTCTCTCTCAAGAACGTTAACTCAGTCGATCTAAATGACACAGATTAAAATAAGAAAATCAACATGGATGAAGATGATCAAGGAAGAAAAGAAAAGAAAAGAGCTTGGCATCATTCCGAACATTAATTCTCGTCATCATCTTTATCATCTTCTTGAAATAATTGTTTTAACTGTTACACTCAGTTGATTCTATTATTCAGTTTTCGTCCATTCTAATTAACTAATCGAAGTTACTTCTTGGTGCTTATAGATTGACATTTGAAGTGCTTTTATATAAGATCAACATTCACCATGGTAAGTTTTTCACTATGGTTATTGTTCAATGTGATTGTTAACATGTATTTTGTGATTATTGTGTTTGTGCTGTCAATTGATTACTTAGGATGACAAGGAGGCAAGAAAAGCCGAAGTTCGAGCTCGTCTCGAACAGGCCGCGGCCGCGTCCAAGAAGAAACGTGGATTCATGACCCCGGCTCGAAAGAAGAAACTTCGAAATCTTTTGAGGAAAAAAGCGGCTGAAGAATTGAAGAGAGAACAAGAGAGAAAAGCCGAAGAACGAAAGAAAATTATTCGAGCGAGAACCGGTGAACCAAAGAACCTTGACGATTCGAACGAAGGTAAAATTGTACATCATTTTCGTAGATTCGATTTTCACTTGAGTAGAAATTGACTTTTGATTCGATTGATTGTCTTTACCATTTAACTAAATCAACAATTTGTCATCAACTTTTTCTCGTTCTTTTCCATTGCCTTGCCAATTTAACTTTAACATTGACAGACAATTGATAAATTGTTGATAATCAACTACACTCGACAAACGACAATCAGTCAATTCTATTAATATTTCTCGTTAGGATTATTATTAGAAAATAATCCAACTAAAAATAGAATCGTTCAAGATTTTGACTAATTTTCTATTCAATTCGAAGCTCAACTTCATGCGATAGTTAAGGAGTATTATGAGAGAATCTGTGGTCTCGAAAGTGAAAAATATGACCTGGAATATGACGTATCTAAGAAAGACTTCGAAGTCCGTGAACTAATGGCCAAAGTTAACGATGTTCGAGGAAGATTGTGAGTATGAATAGAGATTCATTTGGAAATTGATTATTAATCGAGCCTCTCTCCATCGCCAGTATTAAACCTCCGCTCAAAAAGGTCTCAAAAACTGCTCAACAGTAAGTCGATCGGTCGATCAATGATCGTTAATCTGATTTACTTAATTTCTAATTCGATCAATTGTTTTTAATCAAGAATGGAAAAGATTCGTATGTTCACTGCCAAAGTATCGCAAATGGATTATCGTTCTGGTCTTAAACAGATCAAAAAATATGATCTCGGTAAAGACCAAGAAGAGAAGGTGAATTGTTACAATTAAATATCGTAAGGTAATTGACTAATTCATCAATGACTTAACTCTCTAGGAAAAACCTGAATGGGCCGCTGGTCAAAAGGAGAAATCAGTGGCCTCCGATAAAACTGAAGGTTGACCAACATTCATCTTAATTCTGGAAACGATTCACTTTCATCATCTTTTCATTAAAATGTTCAAGTTTCTCAAAATTTACTCTGATTCTCAATCTCTCTCATTTATCCTGAAGATTTAGCTCTAAATTCATCCCTGATAATTGATTGTGAATCATAAATAATCATCATGATAAAAGTGATATTATGGAAATTAATTAAACGATTGGAGCCACAATCAATCTTTATTATTAATGTTTCAATTTTTTACTGTTCTTTAGAATCATTAATATCAATTCCAAGTGTGAATTGAGATTTACCATTTCAGGAAATTTGAAAACCTCGATTCCCTAATTCTACTGCCCAATGGTCATTATATACGAAGATTTTACGGATATTCCAATCTCCATGTTTGCTCCTTCGTCATAATTCAATTGGAATCAAAGTGAGAAACAATTTATTTGTTTATCTTTAACTAATGTTAATTTACCACAAATTCTATTTACTTGTAGCAATCGAAATCATGACTCTGGATAAATGACCTCGATCTCTAATCCGTAAAGAAGAAGTTGGAAATGTAAATGGTGAGTTAATCAAATGGATTAGACTAAAGATGTTGACGTTTTTCAATCAAATTCAATCTAAGCCAAAAATTGTGTATAAATCAAGAGAAAAACTTAATCCTTGAAAAGAAGACACATTTGATTCAATCTTTTACTATAAATCAACAAGTCCCAAGACTCAGAATTCTGAGTTTTCAATTAAAGTTAATTAATAAGAAGCGCGAAGTTGAAATATGATCGGTACTTTGGATTCGATTCCCTTGGCCTAAAGTGGATCATCGGTTTAATCTTCATAAGAATTGTGAGTGAACATTGGAATTGGCAAAAGTTGTGAAGTGTTTTTTTTAAACTATGCAAATTTAATTAGAATTTTGATATTTGAATGGATACATTTGGATGGAATCAATTTCTTTGGATTAGGATGGACAATTAAGTTAATCATCTGATTCTGGTGTTTTGGGTTCTTCCGGTTTATTCTCTTTCTTAACTGGTTCAGGTAATCCTTTCGATGCATCAACAATTCGTGAACGAAGAGCATTGATTCCTTGTCGTAACATTTCAACGGTCACTTTATTGGTCTCTCCACCTTCAGATAGTCTCTCCTCAATGTAGGTGATCATTGATTGAAGAACACCTTCCGAAGCACTGTAAACCCAATCGGGAAGTTTTCCATTGGTTCGAGTGGTCAATTTCTTGAAAAAGTCTCCCAAAGAAGATTTAACATTAGTCCACATTCCACCGGCCTTGGATCGAAGAGTATTCAATCTATCAGATCCACTTCCATACATTAAATTCTCATCGTTATCATAAATCTCGTCAATCTCATCGACTTGGGTCAATAGATCGTCAAGATCACCGACAAGATCAGAAAGATCCTCGTCGAATACTAAATTTTCATTGGCATTCGATGAAGTGGAAACATTAACTTCTTCTTGGTTGGAAGACATGGTGAACATAGACAGTTAAAAAGAGAAGAAATCAAATTAACCGAAGAATTAATTAACTTGATTAAACAATTAAACAAAACAATTAACAAATTAATCTAGAAACAATTGACGAATGATAAGTTATGCTAATCATTGAAACCCTTTTATACTCTTTGAATTGATGAATGAATTCAGGTGACTCGAGATTGACCTGGAAATGGATAATCAATTTTCAAGAATACCGGATAATTAGCAATAATAATACTAATCCCAATTCTAGATTAAAATGAGTTCAATTGTTTCCTTTTACAAAATTGATAATTCAATTGAAAGAGGAAAGGAAATTAAAGAACAACAATTTACATGGAAAATCAAAAACAAAATCGCAATGAATTTCGAACCATCTAAATCTCATCATTTCCATAACTATCATCATAATAAAGTTCTGAACAAGGTCAATCTCGTCAATTGATCCTTGACCTTTGTAAATGCAAATTAAAAACATCAACAACAAGGAAAACAACAACAACCAGTTGATTGTGAAGAGAAAAAAAGTTAAATTTAATTATTGTGATTCCAAAACAAAAACCATGATCATGATTAACTGCATGTGAATCTAACATATGATGAAGATGATTTTTTATTAACTAGAAGAGATAATGAGTAGATGATAATGGTTGATATTATTGGCCCACAAAGTGAGAAGATGAAGACGAAGACGAAGACGAAGATGAGGATGAGGATGAGGATGAAAAGAAGATGAAGAAAAAAGAGATAATCCTCAGAATAGATTCTTAACTCACTCAATCTTAATTACAAGATTAAAATATTCTCTGAAACATAAAGAAGGCGAAGAAAGAGTTTGGCATCATTCCGACAATCATTTTCCACCACAATTCTGGATCTTCAATTCGCATCATTTTCTCCATTTTCTTAATTTTCTTCTTCATCAACATCATCCAACATCTTTTTCTGCTGATACTTTCATTTTCTTTTCCTTCGTCATCATCTCTTAATCTCTTTTAATCTAATCCAAGTTTTTAATCTGCAAAGAAAATCCATTTTTATTGGTTCATTTTTCCAATTAAAACTCTAATCAAAATGGTAAGTTTTCTCGTTCATTGTGATTAACTAATTCTTTCCAACGGATTATACAATTGTATTAATAAGCTCATCACTCTCTCTCTCTCTCTCTCTCTCTCTCTCTTTATGATCAAACTATTCTTTAATCACTAATCTAATTAATTAATCAATAATTTGTTTCTCTGGATCTTTTAATTGTTGTTCCATTGACCTTGTTGGATTGTTTGATTGTTTGTTTCATCGAATGTGATATTGTGAAGGATGATAAAGAAAGAGAAAAGCCGAAGTTCGAGCTCGTCTCGAACAGGCCGCCCGCGTCCAAGAAGAAACGTGGATTCATGACCCGGCTCGAAAGAAGAAACTTGAAATCTTTTGAGGAAAAAGGCTGAAGAATTGAAGAGAGAACAAGAGAGAAAAGCCGAAGAACGAAAGAAAATAATTCGAAAGAGAACTGGTGAACCAAAGAGACTCGATGATTCGAATGAAGGTAAAATGAAATAATTTTCTCGTTTTCTCAGATCGAATTCCCTTATGATAGTCGATTGTTAATCAATTGATTGTCTTGATCATTCAACCAACTCAACAATTTGTCATCAAATTTTCTCTCTCTCTCTCTCTCTCTCTCTCTCTCTCTCTCTCTCTGTCAATTTGAATTTTCAATTGTGATTTTGTGACAGAAAATTGATAAATTGATAACAATCAATGACAATCGACAATCAGTGGATTCTATTAATATTTCTCGTAATGATTATTATTAGAAAATCATCCAACTAAAAATAGATTTGATTCTAATATTTTCATTTTCTATTTAATTTTCCATTAAATCAAAGCTCAACTTCAAAGAGTAGTTAAGGAGTATTATGAGAGAATCTGTGGTCTCGAAAGTGAAAAATATGATATCGAATATGATGTATCGAGAAAAGACTTCGAAGTCCGTGAACTAATGGCCAAAGTTAACGATGTTCGAGGAAGATTGTGAGTATGATTGTGTGAGATTCATTTGGAAATTGATTATTAATCGAGTTTCTTTCCATCACCAGTATTAAACCTCCGCTCAAAAAAGTCTCAAAAACTGCTCAACAGTAAGTCGATCGGTCGATCAGTCGATCAATGATCATTAATCTGATTTACTTAATTTCTAATTCGATCAATTGTTTTCAATTAAGAATGGAAAAGATTCGTATGTTCACTGCCAAAGTATCGCAAATGGATTATCGTTCTGGCCTTAAACAGATCAAGAAATACGATCTTAAAGACCAAGAAGAAAAGGTGAGAATCATCGATGATTATTATTAATCATTCTTAGAATCGTATCATTAATTGACTTTCATTATCAATTTTCTAGGAAAAACCTGAATGGGCCGCTGGTCAAAAGGAGAAATCAGTGGCCTCCGATAAAACTGAAGGTTGACCAAAATTCATCTCAATTCTGGAAACGATTCACTTTCATCATCTTTTCATTACTTTTCTCCTGATTCTCAATAATTATCTCCTACAAATTTAGTTCTAAATCCATCAATCTATTCATCCCTGAAAATTGATTGTCAATCACAAATAATCATAATGGAAACTAATTAAACCGATTGGAATCACAGTCCATCCTCATTATTATTGTTTACATTTTTTGTTTATTCTTCGCAATGATTAATATCAGTGTCAAGTAGCAATTCAAAGGCAAAAGATTAAGTGCCCATTGGGATTCGCGAGTTGATTAATTGGTCAATTCTCAATTTATCAGAGAAGGAGCTTAAACTAATTAAAGAATATCAGAAAAGTTATAATATGAGTTGATAATTATGGATGTTTATTAAACCAGTTAATTGAGATTTAGATGCAAATACAGATACAGAATATCATGTGAATCGAACTAATAAGAAATTTAGTATTTGATTTTCTTGAATGTCTTCGGCTTCTTGTACAAAACAATTGGAGCTGGAGTGTATTCGTTTACCGGTTCGTGTTCCTTTGACGTTCCTTTCGAGTTTAGAAAATTCCAGCTTCCGAATAATATAGTCCATCTTTTGTCCGGCCTGAACTTTACTTTCGGCGATTGTGGCATCCAACAGCTTTTTCAGTTCTTTTTTCTTTTGCTTCAATTCCTTTTTCAATTGATCGATCTTCGATTGTCGAATGGGCTTCTTTTTCTTATAATAGGCACCAGCAGTTACCGGTTTAGATTTTTTCACCTCTTTCACTTTGTATTGATCAGCTTTCTTGACCACTGCCACTTTCTTTTGGTTATCATAAGAAGGAGCTTTAGTTTGAGGGTAAGTATAAGATTCCACCGGTGGTTGACTCACAATTTTAACGGGTTTTTTGGTAATTGGTTCAGCGTAACTACGAGAATTAGAGAGTTGATCGGCCATAAAATCATCTTCATCCATATCTTGATTTTCACTTAATTCATCGTAATCAACGGCGAGTCTTCTTGATCTATGAGAACCAGACACAACTAAGGTACAAAGACAAAGATAAAAGGTGAAAACTGATGAACAGAATAAAAGATTCATTGTGATCGAGTTAATTGTTAGAAGGGAGAATTGATATAAACAAGTAAATTGTACTGAACTGGACAATTTAAATTCAACTAATGAATTTGGAACACAATTATGGTCAGTTTTTATATCTAAAAATCCACTGGGTAGTTTATGCTCCCTCTCCTTTACTTTCAACTAAATAGTTTAAATTTAAGGTGATTAACTGAATTATTCTTGATGAAAATGCCGAAGGGAATCATAATCATTATTTGGATTCACATTCGGATTGATATTCACACATTCACATATATTCATAATATCTAATCACTTGACCATTTTAAGACTTCATCAGTCAAATGTAGTACTGTAAATACATTACTACTAGTAATGTACTAATTTCGAACGAAATTTGGACCCGAATTTGAAATTGATCCAAATAAAGTGACCGTTGAAATCTTACGACAAGGAATCAATGCTCTTTTAGAATTAGGATTAGTATTATTGCTAATTATCCGGTATTCTTGAAAATTGATCATCAATTTCCAGGTCAATCTCGAGTCACCTGAATCCTGAGTCAACTTAATTGTCCATCCTAATCCAAATAAATTGATTCCATCCAAATGTATCCATTCAAATATCAAAATTCTAATTAAATTTGCATAGTTTCAAAATAATCAATCGCTTCTGGGTAATATAAGAATTAATATTTCTAATTTCTATTTTAATTAATATTAAAATGATTCCCTTCGGCATTTTCATCAAGAATAATTCAGTTAATCACCTTAAATTTAAACTATTTAGTTGAAAGTAAAGGAGAGGGAGCATAAACTACCCAGTGGATTTTTAGATATAAAAACTGACCTTAATTGTGTTCCAAATTCATTAGTTGAATTTCAATTGTCCAGTTCAGTACAATTTACTTGTTTATATCAATTCTCCCATCTAACAATTAACTCGATCACAATGAATCTTTTATTCTGTTCATCAGTTTTCACCTTTTATCTTTGTCTTTGTACCTTAGTTGTGTCTGGTTCTCATAGATCAAGAAGACTCGCCGTTGATTACGATGAATTAAGTGAAAATCAAGATATGGATGAAGATGATTTTATGGCCGATCAACTCTCTAATTCTCGTAGTTACGCTGAACCAATTACCAAAAAACCCGTTAAAATTGTGAGTCAACCACCGGTGGAATCTTATACTTACCCTCAAACTAAAGCTCCTTCTTATGATAACCAAAAGAAAGTGGCGGTGGTCAAGAAAGCTGACCAATACAAAGTGAAAGAGGTGAAAAAATCTAAACCGGTAACTGCTGGTGCCTATTATAAGAAAAAGAAGCCCATTCGACAATCGAAGATCGATCAATTGAAAAAGGAATTGAAGCAAAAGAAAAAAGAACTGAAAAAGCTGTTGGATGCCACAATCGCCGAAAGTAAAGTTCAGGCCGGACAAAAGATGGACTATATTATTCGGAAGCTGGAATTTTCTAAACTCGAAAAGGAACGTCAAAAGGAACACGAACCGGTAAACGAATACACTCCAGCTCCAATTGTTTTGTACAAGAAGCCGAAGACATTCAAGAAAATCAAATACTAAATAATTCTTATTATTAGTTCCCGATTCACATGATATTCTGTATCTGTATTTGCATCTAAATCTCAATTAACTGGTTTAATAAACATCCATAATTATCAACTCATATTATAACTTTTCTGATATTCTTTAATTAGTTTAAGCTCCTTCTCTGATAAATTGAGAATTGACCAATTAATCAACTCGCGAATCCCAATGGGCACTTAATCTTTTGCCTTTGAATTGCTACTTGACACTGATATTAATCATTGCGAAGAATAAACAAAAAATGTAAACAATAATAATGAGGATGGACTGTGATTCCAATCGGTTTAATTAGTTTCCATTATGATTATTTGTGATTGACAATCAATTTTCAGGGATGAATAGATTGATGGATTTAGAACTAAATTTGTAGGAGATAATTATTGAGAATCAGGAGAAAAGTAATGAAAAGATGATGAAAGTGAATCGTTTCCAGAATTGAGATGAATTTTGGTCAACCTTCAGTTTTATCGGAGGCCACTGATTTCTCCTTTTGACCAGCGGCCCATTCAGGTTTTTCCTAGAAAATTGATAATGAAAGTCAATTAATGATACGATTCTAAGAATGATTAATAATAATCATCGATGATTCTCACCTTTTCTTCTTGGTCTTTAAGATCGTATTTCTTGATCTGTTTAAGGCCAGAACGATAATCCATTTGCGATACTTTGGCAGTGAACATACGAATCTTTTCCATTCTTGATTAAAAACAATTGATCGAATTAGAAATTAAGTAAATCAGATTAATGATCATTGATCGACTGATCGGTCGGATCGACTTACTGTTGAGCAGTTTTTGAGACTTTTTTGAGCGGAGGTTTAATACTAGTGATGGAAAGAAACTCGATTAATAATCAATTTCCAAATGAATCTCACACAATCATACTCACAATCTTCCTCGAACATCGTTAACTTTGGCCATTAGTTCACGGACTTCGAAGTCTTTTCTCGATACATCATATTCGATATCATATTTTTCACTTTCGAGACCACAGATTCTCTCATAATACTCCTTAACTACTCTTTGAAGTTGAGCTTTGATTTAATGGAAAATTAAATAGAAAATGAAAAGGAAAATATTAGAATCAAATCTATTTTTAGTTGGATGATTTTCTAATAATAATCATTACGAGAAATATTAATAGAATCCACTGATTGTCGATTGTCATTGATTGTTATCAATTTATCAATTTTCTGTCACAAAATCACAATTGAAAATTCAAATTGACACAGAGAGAGAGAGAGAGAGAGAGAGAGAGAAAATTTGATGACAAATTGTTGAGTTGGTTGAATGATCAAGACAATCAATTGATTAACAATCGACTATCATAAGGGAATTCGATCTGAGAAAACGAGAAAATTATTTCATTTTACCTTCATTCGAATCATCGAGTCTCTTTGGTTCACCAGTTCTCTTTCGAATTATTTTCTTTCGTTCTTCGGCTTTTCTCTCTTGTTCTCTCTTCAATTCTTCAGCCGCTTTTTTCCTCAAAAGATTTCGAAGTTTCTTCTTTCGAGCCGGGGTCATGAATCCACGTTTCTTCTTGGACGCGGCCGCGGCCTGTTCGAGACGAGCTCGAACTTCGGCTTTTCTCTTTTCTTTATCATCCTTCACAATATCACATTCGATGGAAACAAACAATCAAACAATCCAACAAGGTCAATGGAACAACAATTAAAAAGATCCAGAGAAACAAATTATTGATTAATTAATTAGATTAGTGATTAAAGAATAGTTTGATCATAAGAAAGAGAGAGAGAGAGAGAGAGAGAGAGAGAGAGATGAGTGAGCTTCTTATTAATACAATTGTATAATCCGTTGGAAAGAATTAGTTAATCACAATGAACGAGAAAAACTTACCATTTTTGATTAGAGTTTTAATTGGAAAAATGAACCAATAAAAATGGATTTTCTTTGCAGATTAAAAACTTGGATTAGATTAAAAGAGATTAAGAGATGATGACGAAGGAAAAGAAAATGAAAGTATCAGCAGAAAAAGATGTTGGATGATGTTGATGAAGAAGAAAATTAAGAAAATGGAGAAAATGATGCGAATTGAAGATCCAGAATTGTGGTGGAAAATGATTGTCGGAATGATGCCAAACTCTTTCTTCGCCTTCTTTATGTTTCAGAGAATATTTTAATCTTGTAATTAAGATTGAGTGAGTTAAGAATCTATTCTGAGGATTATCTCTTTTTTCTTCATCTTCTTTTCATCCTCATCCTCATCTTCGTCTTCGTCTTCGTCTTCATCTTCTCACTTTGTGGGCCAATAATATCAACCATTATCATCTACTCATTATCTCTTCTAGTTAATAAAAAATCATCTTCATCATATGTTAGATTCACATGCAGTTAATCATGATCATGGTTTTTGTTTTGGAATCACAATAATTAAATTTAACTTTTTTTCTCTTCACAATCAACTGGTTGTTGTTGTTTTCCTTGTTGTTGATGTTTTTAATTTGCATTTACAAAGGTCAAGGATCAATTGACGAGATTGACCTTGTTCAGAACTTTATTATGATGATAGTTATGGAAATGATGAGATTTAGATGGTTCGAAATTCATTTCGATTTGGTTTTTGATTTTCCATGTAAATTGTTGTTCTTTAATTTCCTTCCCTTTTTCAATTGAATTATCAATTTTATAAAATTAATAATGAGGAAACAATTGAGCTAATTTTTATCTAGAATTGGGATTAGTATTATTGCTAATTATCCGGTATTCTTGAAAATTGATCACCCATTTCCAGGTCAATCTCGAGTCGCACTAATTCATTCATCAATTCAAAGAGTATAAAAGGGCTTCGATGATTAGCATAACTTATCATTCGTCAATTGTTTCTAGATTAATTTGTTAATTGTTTTGTTTAATTGTTTAATCGAGTTAATTAATTCTTCGGTTAATTTCAACTGTTCATGTCCACCATGTCCTCCAACCAAGAAGAAGTTAATGTTTCCACTTCATCGAATGCCAATGAAAATTTAGTATTCGACGAGGATCTTTCTGATCTTGTCGGTGATCTTGACGATCTATTGACCCAAGTCGATGAGATTGACGAGATTTATGATAACGACGAGAATTTAATGTATGGAAGTGGATCTGATAGATTGAATACTCTTCGATCCAAGGCCGGTGGAATGTGGACTAATGTTAAATCCTCTTTGGGAGACTTTTTCAAGAAATTGACCACTCGAACCAATGGAAAACTTCCCGATTGGGTTTACAGTGCTTCGGAAGGTGTTCTTCAATCAATGATCACCTACATTGAGGAGAGACTATCTGAAGGTGGAGAGACCAATAAAGTGACCGTTGAAATGTTACGACAAGGAATCAATGCTCTTCGTTCACGAATTATTGATGCATCGAAAGGATTACCTGAACCAGTTAAGAAGGCGAATAAACCGGAAGAATCTAAAAAACCAGAATCAGATGATTAACTTAATTGTCCATCCTAATCCAAAGAAATTGATTCCATCCAAATGTATCCATTCAAATATCAAAATTCTAATTAAATTTGCATAGTTTCAAAATAATCAATCGCTTCTGGGTAATATAAGAATTAATATTTCCATTTCTAAATTGTCCAAATGATTCCCTTCGGCATTTTCATCAAGAATAATTCAGTTAATCACCTTAAATTTAAACTATTTAGTTGAAAGTAAAGGAGAGGGAGCATAAACTACCCAGTGGATTTTTAGATATAAAAACTGACCATAATTGTGTTCCAAATTCATTAGTCGAATTTCAATTGTCCAGTTCAGTACAATTTACTTGTTTATATCAATTTCCCTTCTAACAATTAACTCGATCACAATGAATCTTTTATTCTGTTCATCAGTTTTCACCTTTTATCTTTGTATTTGTACCATAGTCATTGCATGTTCTCCAGCACCAAGGAGACTTGCTGTCAACTTCGATGCTCTAGATGAAAGCCAGGACAGCGATGAAGATGATTTCATGATGCCAGATCCATTTTCGCATCCTCGTAGTTACGTTAAACCCATTGCCAAACATCCCGTCAAAACTGTTATTCATCCACCCAAGAAATCATATACGTACATCCAAAGTAAACCCTCTTATGGTAATCAAAAGAAACCATCAGTCAAGAAAATCGAGCTCCACAAAGAAAAAGAGGATAAACAGTGTCCCAAACTGGTGATGGACGAGAAAAATGAACGAATGGTTAAACTGCCCATCTCATCGAACAATACAGATTCGTGGAAATTGTATTTACTCTTCAATTCCTGTGAACCATTCGAGGATATCGCTGTGTCCCTTCATTTGTTAACCTTCCATTGTAATCAAATGGCAAACAATACGTTGATAACTTATTTCCAAGTTCATCTTATCCCATTAGAACTTGATTCGGATACGGTTAGTGCCAATTGGATAGCCGATAACCTGTTGGAAGTCAAGGCCAAAAAGTCCGAGTTATCTCAAGACACCAAGTTCATCGCCATCGGAGGAAAATCGAGCTATAATAACAAAAAGAATAAATTTTATAGTAAAGATGTGATGTTATCAAAATCTTCCAAGAAAACTGTCAAAATTGATTGAAATTCGATTTAAAATAATTTTGAAACTAATTAAATTCTACTTAATTAATTATCATTTAAGATTTTGTTTATACTTTCATTGACTTAGATTTTAAATCGGATTACAAAATGTCAACATCTTTAATCCAATCAAATTGATTAACTCACCTTTTTCTTTACGGATTGAAGATTGAAATTAATTATCCCAAGTGATGATTTCGGTCAATGGCTTTCAGATTTTCAACCAATCCAAATGTAATCGAATTGATTAATTTTTGTCTCTTTTACATTTTCAGTTGATAGAGTGAGAGACAAATAAAGTGACCATCAAAAAGCTACGACAAGAAAGAAAGCAATGACCATTCGAATTACAAGGTCAAAACACAAGATTAATTTCCAATTGTCTTCAACGCTAACAACGAATTTGTCACCAACTCAGTTCCAAACAATTCATCTTATCCTTCAAGATCTAAACAATTCTGATTAGCCAAAAAAATTCTGTTCAAGATGAAAATGTCAACAAGAGAGTCCGAATGGTAACAAAGGTCATCTTGGTCAAGTTGATTCTCCATCTTTTCCCATTGTTGGATCGAAAATGAAGCTCTGAGAGTCCACAGATTTGCTGAGTATTCACAAAGTTAATGACTAATTGAGATGAGATGACGACGAAGATGAGAATGGTAACAATCCAGTTAGAAAAGAAAACGCCTTATTTCCCATTAAAAGAATAAAAAAGAAACAAAAGAAGAAGTAAAATTAGAAGAAGAGAAAAAATAAATCATCTTTTAGAAAGAGAAATAAACCCAATGTAGATTAGGTAAAGAAAGAGAATAGAATAAACAAAACACAGTTAATATTCTTTTTAGAATATTGAAAAATAGAAAAGAAAAACTGACTTACCTTTTGTGTCTCCATTTTCTTTTCCACCCTAATAAAAAGAGTTCCACCCTCTCTTGGAATATTATTGTAACATTTAAAGAGAAATAAACAAGTCGTAGGTCAACAGGAAATGGAATTTAGTGGTTACCTGCAATCAACGAAACAAAAGGAAAACCTAAAAATTACCTGATCTTTTTTTCGTAGAAAATATAATCTCTCTCTCTCTCTCTTCCGGTCTTTTCAATAACAAATCCATTCCAATCTCCTCCTTTTACCTCTCTCCCTCTTCTCTCTCTCTCTCGCTCCTTCTCTATCGTTTTGATACAGAGACAAGATTCTAATCTATCATATCAACTATGTCTTCACCTTTCGGACAAGGTAAATGGTCAACCAAAAAGGATGTGAATCAATTGTGAACATAAAGACGAGTGAGAAAAAAAAAAGAAAATTGAAACTTACCTTTTCTCTTGAAATGTGATTCATCTTTAATCCATGTCACTTTGTGTATTCTTATTCTCTCTCTCTCATTATCCCTTTTGTTTCTTGTTAATCCTGATGATTACATTTATGGTCAATTAATCAAGAGAGACAATTACACTTTCTAATAGAATTTTATATTTATAAACTGTCAACTCGGATCATCTTTATTGTTTAATTAGTTTGTTAAGGTTAAGTTAATTTGAATAAGTGTCTCCTTGTGTCAATCCTTGTTACACTTTTTGTCATTTTCTTTTCTCTTTTCAAGTCAATCATCAACATTGAATTAATTGAGAAAAACATTCATCAACAAAATGAATTTGTATCAACATTTTCTCTCTTTCAAAATGTTGACAATAAGTGACATTGTTTTTCTATTCTAATTAAGTTGTTCTCCAATTTGAACATTTATCTCGATAAGTTAATTCTAAAATTCATCATGATGATGATAGTGTTTAAATCATTCCATCAATTTTTATGAGAATTTATATAAAAAAAGTGTTGTGTTGACAAAGAAAATTGAATTTTCTCCATTACTTTTCTTCCCATGGATCTTTCCACCCAACGGGTTGTTGACAGTTTTCCTGTTCCATATAATTTATCATGTTCACCTTATTCTAGTTTAACCTTTGACCGTGAAATCCGTGACTATTGTGATCAAAATGTTAACCTGACAACCTCTGACCCTTTCTCAAAATGTTCAAAGGTAATTCTGGTTGGTGACATGGCAGTTGGAAAAACTTGTCTTCTTAATCGTTTCACCTATGACACCTTTGGACTTGACCACAAAGCGACCATTGGAGTAGATTTTGCCATAATTAAATTTAAAATTCTCCAATTTCCATTTCAACTTCAGGTAACCAAATTTCATTTTAATTCTATTACAAATTTGATTAGGAACAAAGAGAAAAATCAATCAATCGACCAAAAGTAATTCGCTTCCAAATATCACCTAAGGTTCAATTTCTCTCTCTATCTCCATGAGTCACTGTTGTCAAGACAATCGTCACCTTATTGATTGCATATCATTAGCAACAGTAGAACTCAAATTATCCAACAATCATAATAAGCTAAAAGAGAATAGAACAAAAAAATGTTCTCTTCAAGATTTAGTTACATTCGTCATGACAAAGAGACAGACAGACTATCCAATATCTGTTGAGATCTTGGCAACAAAATGGATCATAGTTTATCCATTAGGCAAGAAGGAAACACGAACAGTAATTAATTTGATTCTTAATCATTTCCTTTAATCATATTTCAATTTTTTGTTTATTCGATTTCTCTTTTTTTCTCTCTCATTTTTTGACTTGATCCTTTAATCCATTTAATTGATTAACAAATTGTAAGAAAAAAGTTAGCCCAAAATTCATGATGAAATTATTATGACATGAGAATGATTTTCAATGTTATTGATTGAATCATTTTTTTAGTTGTCAGGTAAATGATTGTTACATTTAATCACAATCAATGAGTTTCGGTTGATATATTTTGACAAACAAACAAATGGTAGATTAATAGATTAGCTTAAATTCAGGTCCACCCTGAATTAACCTTTTTTCCTGTAACAATGACAACAATTGTCTCTCTTTTAATCACAATTAAGCCTTGAAATTTCTCAGATATAAATAGTAACTTGTTTCGAATATTTTGTTTTTTCTTCTCTCAAAGGTTTGGGATACTGCTGGTCAAGAAAGATTCCAATCGATTGCTGAAAATTATTATCGAAATGCTCATGCAGCCATAATCTGTTTCGATCTTTCCAATATATCAACTTTATCGAATGTAACTACTTGGGCAACTCGTATTATCGCAGGTAACAAAGGTAATAAAATTCCGTTGATTTTTCTTGTTGGAACCAAAATGGATTGTTTAACTGATTCGGTGGTACAATTTGTCGAAACGGAAGCAATTAAAGTGGCCACCTCCCTATCAGCTGAATATTGGAGTGTCTCAAGTCAATCGGGTTATAATGTGGAAAATTTTTTTAAACGAGTCGCTGCTCTTTCATTCAGTGAAATTATTTTGAATACAATTGAAAGAATCAAAGAGGAAAAGGAAACCCAAGCCGTTCAATATTCAGCTAATTTTGTTAAGCTTAGCAAGAAGAAAAATTTTGCTCTAATCAAAGCTTGTATGGTAACTAAATGTGTTTACAAAAAGTAATTTATGATTAACAAAAAGAAAACACCAAGCAATCAAAGGTTAATCAACAGATTATAAATACATAAATGAGAGACAATTTAATCTCCCATTGGAATTGATCACTTTTCAATTCAATTATTTACTTGAAGGTTTGTAACTCATTTCAATTCTTGGATTCAAGTTAAAATCAAGCTGATTGTGTATTTCTTAATTATCGTAGACAATTAATCAACCAACCATTGAAAGACTTGCCTTGTATTAATTATTGTGTGATAATTTTCACATTTTTAAAGTAGAACATTTATAAAATCAACAGGAAACTAATTGTCGTTGAAAAAAAAGTTAATCAATTAAAGTTGATTTGTGAACTCAACAAGAAAAAAGCATAACAACAATGGATGGACTTTGGTTTGACACAATTTTGCTTTTCTTGATTGTTAAATTAACATTTAACATTGAATAAGACAGTAAATGTCCATCACATTGACTCCCGTTGGTCCACCAGTGTCTATCATACATTGTGGAAGATACGTTGACCAGAAAGTATACGAATCATGGTTAACAAGATATTCTTTTGCAGAATTGTAAATATCCGATGAAATGGATTCATTGTATTGATAAATTACACCAGAAATGGGGGTTGGTCCATCTTGTCCATCGGTTCCTCCAGCAAGAAAGGCGAAATTGGTTAATTGGTCATTAAATGTATCAACTAAAAACCTTAAGGCCATTTCTTGACAACGTCCACCTTTACCTTTATAAAAAATAAGGTGAAAAGATTAAAGTAAAAATAATTGCTAATCAAAACAAATCTAATTGCTTGCGAAAACATTAGTAATGTAATTAACGTAATTAAGTGTTGGTGGTGTGTGTGTCTATTAATTGCTAAAAGGCATTTTTCCATTGTGCTAATGTTATGTAAAGAAAAAAAAACTCATCGATAATAAAAAAGTTATATTATCAAGTGTAATAATTAAGAGGATTCCCCAGCAACAATTAAATTGTTAAATGGTAAATAAAAGGTAAGTATTAACTTACCAGGATTGGAAGGTAAAGTTACAACAGTTTCTCCACCTCCGATCCAGCAAATTTTCCCTTCATTATTATCCGAAGTGCGAGCAATTTGAGCAAATCGGGATCCTAATGTTGATGCATCACCGGAAATTTGATTACCTAAATCAATCACTTTATAGCCCAATGAGTTCATTAGGTTTTTAGCAGCTGAAAGGGCAACTTGATTACTAACAATGATGTAATTGTGTAATCGATCGGTAATGGAAACATTATTTGATTGTTTAACATTTTGTTGACATAGATCACGAATACTTGAATCAACTGGTAATTTGTAAATATCAATTAACTCCAATGGGTTAGCTGAATCATTTGGCCGTAAAACGGTTGGACCAGAGCCAATTATGTCTATTGGATCACCAATTACATCACTGGCGATAAAATTAATCATCTCAACATTGGTTGATGAGGAGAGTACACGAAGGGCAAGTTGACCAGCTTTAACTTTAGACCAACAACTACGAACACAATTAAGTTCATTGATTGTACAACCAGCGGCCATTAGTTGACGGGTCAACTCTCGTTTCATGGTTAAAGTTAAAGGTTCTTTGGGTGCTACCAAAAGTGCTGATGCTCCACCAGTTATCAGAGTGATGAAAACAATTGGTCTATTAACAGATTGACCCATTTTACCACTGGTTACATTGTCTATTAAATCGAGGATTGCATTAGTTGCTATTACAGAATCTTCATCTAAAATTTAAGGAATAGAAAAAGGAATATAAATGAATCAGACAAACAATCGAATGAGATTAAAAAAAATATAAATCATTTACCTGGTAGATTATTTTTCCCACCAAAATATGGAGTAATATTATGTTTCTTCAAGAGATTAAGATGATCATCAAATTTAATTCCAATGGGCATACTGATTATCCCTTTGATAATTTTAACAGAGTCAGAATTTTGCTTTTCTAAAGCTCCAAGAAAACCAAGACATAATCCAAGAACTCCTTTACCTGGTAAATGAATGAGAAAGAAAAATATTTCACTAAAAATAAATTCATAAGAAATCATTTCGATTGAATTTGAATGAGAACAATTAAAATCTAGACTTTAGGTGATAATTTAGTTGAATGATTTTATTTACCTGATCCAATTAGGTAAACATCTTTGCCCAATAAGTCAAACTGTTTAACTTCATTGTTTAATTGATTGATTTTGACCAATCCTCGATCAAAGGAGATGTTATTCCCAATTATAGTATCACCATTAACTGATTTAATTGCGGTTGAATGGATTTGGCGAAGATGATCACAAAGAGAAGATGACATGTTGAAGTGATTAACATTAATTACAAAACGAAATAGTCAATGTATTTTCTTTCGGGTGTGTTAATATCTATTAAAAAGAAAGAAAAAGAGATGAGAGACAAATATAGAGGAAAATTAGGAAGATTAAAAGAAAAGAATATTTTTTTGTTCTATTCTCCAAATTGAAAGACAAGAGAAGATACAATAAAAAACAAATAAGATCAACTGATTAACTTACGTCAAAGTCAATTAAGCTAAAAAATGAGATGATAACCAGTGAGTGACAAATTTAATAAACATGATGACAAATCCAATTTGTCTTCCTTTTTTCTCTCTCAATTTTGTTTCCTTCTTTATCACATTAAAATTAATAACATAGTTGACTAATTATCACCCAAGGAAAACTCATCCATTAGTCAATAGAAATGAAAGGTTGGTGAATACATTTTTCCAATCTTACGATCACAATCAACAAATCTAATGTACTGGAAGATCACAAGTTATTTGCAAAAGAGGAATAAACAATTTAAACAACACAAAATCACTTCATTTTGATTAATTAATAAACGACAATGATGATTGAAATTCAAAATCATTGAACAATCAAAATAACAGAAACAACAATAAATTGAATGATCAAAGATTCTTATCATAACCAACCGGTAGATGGAACTGATTTCAGTTTTGGTTTTGTTCTATTCCACCAGATGGAGCCACAAGTTGCCTTCTAATTTTGATTCGTTTTAATTTTAATTCAGTTTATCAAATTTTCAATCAAATTAACAATAAATTGTCAATTTAAAAGCTCATTCAAAAGCTGATAATGTTTTCAAGGAGAGGTAAAGTTTTTTTCTTACCAACCTACAGGATTAAAGATTCAAATTAACTCGATGATTGATTGACAATTGTGTTCAAATTAAAGCTTAATTTGAACAAAATAATCAGTTGATTACTTTGTTTTTTTTTCTTCAAAATATATTAATTGCTCTTTCTCAACATTTTAATTAATCAGAGATTAACCTTCAATGAAAAGAAAGAAAGAAAGAAAGAAAGAAACTATCTCTTGTTAATTAGAAAATTATTCTAGAACATTTTAAAATTAAGAAGAAGAAAAAAAAATTCTAAACACAAATCAACAAAATCGATAATAATTAATCAATATTCATGGAAAAAACTAATTACAAGTTGAAGAAAAAGTTAATTTCCTTAAATTTGTTGACAGTTAAACATCATTTGTCTTAATGAATTATCAGATTAAAAAGAAAATCATAATTATAATGATAACGATAAAAAATATAATCGATTTCTAAATCATCATCATGATTGATTCAATTCTTTCACAATTGAATCAATACAAGTAACAAATGTAATCTAATCATTAAATCATCACATTTGATTTGCAAATATTACTATTGATTGTGAATCTATTTGATTCCGTCTTCTAATCATCATCATGTTGATGAGCACACTTCCATCAGATCAGGTAACATAATCAAGGAAAACTAATGACAATAATTAATAAACGAATCAATTAACAATTATAATTACAATTATAAAAGTGCAACAATAAACAACAACAACAACAACAACAATTAGTTAACTGTTTAAATCCAGTCTAGTAATTGAATCCATCGGGATAAGTATCATGTTGATGATGAAATTGAAACTAATGTTGATTTTGATTGTGATGAGATCAAGTTAAATTGTTCAATCTTAATTGTTATTACCTGTTGTCTACAAATGCCCTCAAGGTTAAATCTTAATTATTAATCAAGTGTCTTAACTTACAAATTATCATTTCAGATTATAAAATATCAACTTGACAAAATGATTTCGGTTCATCATTTATGCCCTTAAGCTGTGAATTTAATAATAATCATGATGATAAGACAAGGGATTAGGATTAGATTGGGGATTTAATTTAAATCTACTACCTGGTAATTAAATATTGTTACTTAAATTGATTAGTTTCAATCAAAATTATCAAAAAAAGTTACATCAAAATTTGAATCTATCATTTAAAATGTTGATTCAACTTTTTTCCTGTTGATTTTTTTTTCACTCAAAACGATCAATTTAATTGATGACTTTTTGATTTAATTGATTTAAGTTTATATTTGTTTTATTAATTGACGTTTCTATCATGTTGATGTTTCTAATGTGATCTAATTAAATCAAAAATTGATTTTCTTATCCTAATTTTACATTTTGTGTTAACATAATTACTGTTAATTAGTTGACATTAATTTGACTTATATTTATACAATTAAGTCAATCAAATTTGAACAATTTCATTCAGTTTGATCAAGTTTATCAACTTAATTATAAAACAAAAATAAGTAAATCAGTTAATTTAACTCGTAATTGTGATCAATTTTTTTCCCTGAAATAATGATTGACTAATGATTAAGTTGATCATTGTCTTGATTAACAATTAGATTGAAAGAAATTTCTGTTCAATCATCATTTCTGATTAACTAATTTAGTTTCAATCTAAATGTAAAGTTAATGTTTACAATTAAAGCTCTCGAATCAAATATAATTATTAATACAAAGTGAAATTTAATTACTTATAAACTGATTGAAATTTTGTAGTTGATTGTTGAGTTTAGAGGTTAATTGCTGCCACCAGGATGTTATTTGATTAAAAATCTGTAACAATTAAGCTAATAACTTTTTTTTTCCATGTTCAATTGATTGAAAATCACTAATCAAATGTAAATTGTTCAATCATATTGATGATCTGATTAACTAACATTGATCTAATCTAATTGATTTGGTTATCATAATAAAATGATTAACTGTATTTAGAGACACAATTAAGGTAACCAGCTAATGTTTGATTGTTAAAATTGATACCAATAACTAAATGAGTAGCAATTAGTGATGATACTAACAAATTAAATTGAATTAAGCTTTTAAATTATGATCAGTTGTTGATGATCAACATTATAATCAATTTAATCAACAAATTACTTCCGATATTTGATCAGGAATATTAAATGTTCACCCTCATCTTTTAAACTAAATCATAATTAAATTAAATTAAATTTCTGCGCCTTTGCAACTAAAATGATTAAAATCATCACTTAAAAAAAACTTCCAGCAATTAGTTGATTATCTTAATCACCAATTGATTGTTGGATTAATATACATGAAATGACCTGATAAAAAGGCTTGAATCAATAAAGTCAATAATTAATTTAATTTTCTCAATAAAAATTAAAATTAAAAGTTAATCAGTTGATTAGACACCAAATAAACATGAACATCAACAAGTAATGAAAAAAAAGGTTAATCATTTCCAATGAATTAAGATGATCATTAGGAAAATCAAAGATTCAATCAGATTAATTGTAATTAAATGTTAATGATGATGGTTAATATTATCATGAATCACAATCAACTAACAAACACATGTAATCGTAATCAAATTAACCACCATGCAAGTGACAGATTAAGAGTGCTGAGTTATTAAACTAAACTGAATTAAGTTTATTTCCAATGTACAATAATCAATTTAATTTAATTTAATACAGTTACAAATTGCTTGATAACTTGATTGCAATTAGAATCAAATCAAAATATTAATATTAAAGTTTGTGTGTGGCTCAGGTAAGAGATGAAAGTTTAATCATCGCCATTAAATCAAATCTAAATCCAGTTAAATTTTCCGTTTCTTCAGCTAAATTAAGCATCACAACAATTAAATTAGATTGTTTTCTGTCTGTGATTAGTAAATTGTTGCTGTAGTCTTATAATTAAGATATTGATTGACTTTTGTTCTGTTTACTTGATTGTATTATTTACAATCATGATTATGTTTCCATTCAAATTGATGTTGGTAAAGTTGATTACTAAATATATTTAATGAACAATTTAAATTAAAGTAAATTTTTTGGTAAAAAAAAGTTCAGTTAGTTACAATTAATTAGAATCACAATGAATTTAATAATCACGATTAGCTTGCAGCTAATTAATCGGCTTCTTCTTGATTGTAATCAAGTTTTCTGTGTTTTGTTTTTACCTCAACAACAATCAAACAGTTAAACAGTTAATTTTATTTAAATTGTTTTATTTACTTAATTGTTGGTAAAAAAAACTAATCAAATAAATGGTTTGTTTGGTATACATACTCAATATAAGAACCACAATTAACCAAGTGTTTGTATTGATTGTGATAATTTAACAATAACAAGGTGGTTAAGATTAGGTTGATTAAGCTTCTGATTACTGATCGTGATGATCATGTTGATTAACCTTCAAAATCCTCATCACTTAATTGTTAATCATTTCCAATCACCATTAAGCTGTTTGCTGTTTTCCTTATTGTAAAAGTATTAATAACCTATAAGATTTAAATTAATTAACTTAATCATCAGGATTCAAATATTTTTACAATCAACTTTGAAAGATTTTTGAATGGAAAAAAAGTTAATTGTTGTTGTTAAATTATAATCACAGTTGTAACATAATTAGAAAAATATTGTAATGGTAACTTGTTTATCTTAATTAATTGTTATCTAACTCTTTTCCTAATTTGAATACAATTTAAATCAACTTTTAATGATTAATGACAATCTAAGAGGGAATCAGGGTTGGTTAATTATCTTTTTCTTAATCATGATTAGTTAATTGTCTTCTCCTTTCAGTGATTAAATTGTGATTATAATTCATTAGGTCACTAGGTTTTTGTTTGTTAACCATTTCAATCTTAACCAGTGTTAATATTTTAATAATTATAACCTTGATTTTGGCAATTGATTATTACTTATATTTTGTAATCAGCTAATTAACAAATCACTTTTGTCTTTAATAATAATCATGATTAAGATTAGGAGGAGTCGAGTCTCCTTTTTTTCCCTAGTTTCTTGCCTCAGGCTATATTATAATATGATGATTCTGATGATCAGATAATTTTGATAAAAAGGCAAATGAGATGAGAGTTTTGTAGTAATTAATTATAATTAGTACTAATTTTTCATGAGAAAATGTCTCACAATCAAGTAAATTACACGTTAACCAAAGATGATTGGTGATTTTGTTTATTGATTAAATATTAATTGTGATCAGAAACAATGTAACAATCAATTGAAAAACCCTTCGAGCACAAATTTCCTAATGATTTGATCATTGGTATGGTTTATAAATTGATAAGATTAATGATAATATAAATGGTTAATCAATTAAATGGTAAAAGAAAAGCAAATTCACTTAATTTAGTAAAGAAATTAATTAATTCCTCTATTTTGATTAACCAAAAGATCAACAAACAGAAAATGTTTCATTTTTACACTGATTCTTACCAAGAGATGGCGATACTTTCGTAATCTAATTCTAATTGGATTAAATTGATTTTGTTACAAATTAAATCAAACTAAATCGTATAAATGATTAATAATTTAATTTGATTAACAATTTGTAGTCAATATAATAGTTGATAACCTCAAGTCCATGAATTAATTGTAAATATTTAAGGAAAATCTTTTAATTTAATTTAAAGTAAAAAATTTTCTTATTTCTTTTATAATTAATGAAGCAAAAAGAAAACAAAACTTTGATTAGTTAATTGCTAAAATCAGAGGGAGTTGCAGTTAATTGATTTTCTTCATCTTAA